TTTTATTAAGTTTATTTTTTTATAGTAAAAAATATTGACTTTTATGTAGTTTTGTTAAAAAAAAATTCAAAATATTTAAGTTTTTTCAATTTTTTTTCTTGCCCGATGTGCTATGAATTAAAAAAAAAAAAAACATCATTGAATCAATAAAAAAAAATGATATTTTTGCCCCCAAATTTTTGCTGTTGATTCCAGCACTGGACTTCAACACAATGACAAAATAAATAGAACTATTTTTTATAAATAAAAAATTAAAAAAAAAAAGTCATAAAGTTAAAAGCAATACATACTTAAAAAAAAAAAAAAAATACCACATCCAACACAGATTGAACACAATTGTAAAAAAAAAAAAAAATTATTTTGCTAACTATCCAAAACCATTTTTGCAAAATATTAACATATATTTAAGATTTGCGATTCAAATATATAATAAAGGCACACTTTATAAAGTGAGAAAAAATTACAGAATTAAATAATTTGGTAAATAAGAAGTATTAAATTATCCTTATTCAATTTTGACCATTCATTTACACTCATGCCTCTGTCAACCAATTATCTATATGTATGTCGGATGCTGAATAACCGTATCACCTAAAGGATCGAACTATTTGAGGAACACAACCATTGGAGTCTCCCACAATGTAATCCAACCTAATTAATAATATCTTAATTAACTTTAAAAATTATACTCATAAACATATAATAACCCCAAATATGCAATATTGGTCAAAATTCAAAAAATCCCAAATATATATATATGGATTAGAAATGAAGGAGAAATGGTTGAGTTCACTCGCATGCTTAGAATTCAAACAAACACATCCACAAATGCAAATGCAAATGCAAATGCAAAACAAGCTATAGAACAACCCGTAAGAATGAAAGAAAGTAGCCTTGTCTGTCAGTTTAGCCCATAATATAATTCAATTACTTGAAAACATAAACAAACAACACACATATAGTTTAATTTCAATAAATGAATTAATTACATAAAATTATATATGAACATAATAATAATAATAATTATAGAGGACGGATGTTGCGGAGATCGACGACGACGACGGCGATGTTATCGTCGCAGTTCCTGGCGACGGCAAGGCGCATGAGAAGCGCGGCGGCGCGTGCGGCCACGGACGCAGAGGTGGTCCCCGGCGGCGGAGTGATCTCATCTCGGGCGGGCGGCATGAGGAAGCAGCTGCTCACCACGCGGATCACCATGCCCACCGGCATCACGTCCCAGAGGCCGTCCGTCGCAATGATCACAAACTCGTCCTCCCTGTCCCGCCGGAGCAACCTCACCTCCGGTTCCGATATCACGTACGGCTTCAGGTACCAGTCCCCTGTATGTATGTATATATATAATTCAACTCCCCCAATTATAATGTAATATATATAATTGCTTTACCGATTGCTCGCGACGTTGACAGGACCCCTTGGACGCGAGCTGTGTCGGTTTCGATAATCAACCCTCCCGCGGCTTCGATTCTCTCCCTCTCATCCTGCCTGTCCGGCTGCAATGCAATTTTAATATATTACATAATAAAGAAATGAAAAAAGAAGAAATAATTAACTGAAATTAAGTGCAGTTACAAGGCAGACCCGGTTCAGAATTAAGACACGTGTGGCGGCGCAACCATAATAAATACTAAAACAAATTGAATTTCAGTGTGAGACAGTCGACGGTTACGTACCTTATGGTCGTGGGTGAGCGGGATTATTCTCCCGGTGCGGCAGAGGATGGCGCGTGAGTCGCCGCAGTGGGCGGCGACTATATGCTCCGCCGTCAGAACCACAGCCACCGCCGTCGTCCCCGAGAAGAGCAACTCCGTCCGGTCGCAGTCGCAGCCGGCGAAGGACCCGCACCGGCAGGAGGTTGTCGCCATCACTTCGATCCTCCTGAAGCACCGGTGGAAGATGCGTGTCCATGCCTCCTGGAGAAGCCACGACGGGGCTGCTCCGATCTCGTCGCGTCTGCCGGCTTCCCGGTCCATCTCTTCCCGGAGGATCTCATGCATCCTCGATTTGCACATATTGGCGCACTGATCGTATACGAAACTTTGGATTAATTAACGATATGATCCACTTAAATACGGAGATTGAGATTTATATATTTCAGATCTGAACAACTAAACTCACGTGAGATCCTCCATGGCCATCGAAAACGCCGACGTAGTGCACCGGCTTGAATCTGGCGATTGCCGGCGAGCAAAGACGCTTCCGGATGCTGACGGCGTCTTCCATCACTCCGGCGCTCCCTATCAACGCCATCGCGGCGGAGCGGAACAGTTCCGGGGGCGGAACCCTAGGTGGGGCGGACGAGCTGCTAGGACCACCGAAAACCCTAGATGGGGCATTCGGCGGCGGAAATCTGGCTTCGCCGCTCCGGACAATACGCCCCACAACGACGACCCCATCGTCGTGGTCCTCCCCGCCAGCGGCGCCGGGCTGCCTCGATGGACCCGCCCCCGAGTCGTCGTCGGCGACGGATCTGATATCCGGGGTCGATGGCAGGCCGCCGCGAGAGCTAGAAGCAGCGCGTGGTGCCCCACCCGGGCCGGAGACGTCGTCGAGGTGCCCAGAGAAAGTCATCGGATCTCTGGAGAGGTTTCCGATGGCGCCGAGAACCCTCTGGCGTCTCCTCAATCGGCGCCTCTCTCCGGTTTCCGGAGATACGGGCGGCCTGCGGCTGCCACTTCCGCTACCACTGCCGCTTGCTTGACGTCTGTCCGCCATTTCTGTAAGATCTGAGAAAGCTGTGAGAGGTGGATGCAAACCCTAGGTAGGGCGGCCCCCAATTTATAGCCCCGGAGCGCAACCGCCAAAGTGCAAACAAACAAAAGCCCCACCACACGACCCATGTGAATTACAGTGCTCGTTGCTGAAGCCATCGATGGAGCCAGCTCTGATGAAACTTCACCCACTCCATTCATCGCTCTCGCGCGACACGTGTCCATCAAGATTCTCGTAGAAGCTCGAAACGGTACGCGACCGCATGGTTCGAGCCGCGGACGTCAAAAGGCTCGATTGCATGGACTTAATGGTGACCAGTCAGTCGTCGTGCCAGTGCAGTGCAGTGAGACTACTCACTCCGTGACGTGGTTTTATGACACGTGGGATCGGATCAGAAAAATGGACTATTTGATCATTTATGGATATGATATAATCACAGGTCCCCGCGCGATACCTGGACCTGGTGGTCGGAGTTCATTTTCCGGTGGGGATGGGAGGCGCGTGGGGCAGTGGGTTGCCGGCGTGAATTCAGGGCGTATACAGGCACTTTCGTGAGTGAATGATGACAACAACTACTACTGCTACTTTAATTCATTGTATCGAATATATATATCCATCACTATTTGTATGTAGAAATACATAAGTATGGCAGCGGTTCTTTATATCCACCATGCTTCATCTCATTACCCATAGCCATAGAGAACCCTTGAAGCATTGGTTCACAGAAAAATACAAGTTTTGTTCACTCAGGGTGATGACACTTTAAAACTCAAAGCATAATTAAGTGCAAGTAGGACGAAAATAAATGATGTTTCTAGAAGCCTGACATGAGCATCCTATCTTTAGGGACATCTAAATATCGCACATTACGGCGAGAACTATAAGCGAGAGTTTGCAATAATCCGATCAAAAAAAGAGAAGGTTTGCAATAAAGGCAAAAAGAATTAAACAAATTGTGCTTTCTTCCTCGAAAATGTTTATTCTACATGCAAAAAACCAAGTATCACCTTTACAAAACAATGTGTAATTATGAACTTGACGACAAATCCTCCAATTGCATAGCGACAAAACAACCAAACTATTGGATATAATCGGCAGGAACAAGTAGCGACAAATTTCCTCTACTTTTCTTAATGCATGTGGGAAAGTAAGAAACAAATATCACAACTACAAAAAATGTACAATTTTAACTGGACAACAAATCCTCCAATTAATTATATAGCAAAAAAAATCATTGGATACGGCCTTTAAGATAAGCTACCGTTAAACTTCCTCAATATATTGTATTCCATGTGGGAATGTAAGAAACAAAGATCACAACTATGAAAAGATATGCAATTACGAACTTGATGACAAATTCTGCATTTATATAACAAAAAAAAAAAAAGTCAAATCATCAAACAACGCTTTTTAGCTTTCTTTAGGATTTGTCCCAAACTGTTTGGCAGATTCCCACGGTTAAGAGCAGCTATCGACAAACGTACTCAATATTTTCATTCGATGTGGGAAAGTGAGAAATAAATATCACAAAAAAAAAAAAAAAAAAAAAAAAATCAATTATTGACTTGGCCACAAATTTTTCAGTTATATAGGATCAAACAATCAAACTATTGGATATGGCCGTTTAAAACAATTACCAAAAAACTATGTCGATATTTTTTTTCTACATGGGAATGTAAGAAATAAAGATAAAAATTATAAAAAAAAAAAAAAGAAAAAAAGTGCAATTACGAACTTGGTGACAAATTCTGCAATTATATAGCCAAAAAAACAATTAGATTATTAATACACAGTTAAGAGCAACTACAGACAAACTTCATCAATATTTTTTCATTCAGCTTGGAAAAATGAGAAATAAATACCATGGGCCAATACAATCGGTGATCCCATTATCTTACCCCATAATCGTGACATTATTGTAGCCAATTAAATAATTTAAAAACAATTTTGGATGATTGTACAAGCAACCTAACCAAAATTATTTTTTACAAATATATATATATCTTTTAAAATTATAATTTTTAAATTTTTTTATTATAAAAAAAATACTGTACAAAGTATGTGTTGATATATTTTTTATTTATAATGTAATTACAAAATTAAATTATAATAATATTCTAATACTAATAAACATACACATACAACACTTATTCTGTCTACCCATTGAAGACCCTTAACGGTACCTTGTAGAAAAAATTGTAGAAGACTCATTTCTTGAGATGACACAATATTAGACGAATTAAAAAACACATCATGACGAGGAAATGAAATTGTGAAACGTATATTATGTGTCAATATAAATCAAAAGTATCAAGAACACAAAGTTGAGCTCAAAATGTCTAAGGCAGCAGCATAAGCCTGACAAATTCTAAGCAACCGAGGTACGAATTTAATTTCAATACTGGGCATTTAGAACAAGGAAGTTCCTTTGCCCTTCTTGTTGCCACCGATCTCAAAATGCTTGCATCTATCTCTGCACGAAGAGAATTAAGAAGTTGTCGGCATACATATAGGGTATAATCCAAACAACAATGCAAATTAGGATTTTAAATATCGACCTTGATAGGGGATTGGGAAACATGTTTGCAAGCCTGGCATTGCAACCTCAGCACAATCTTCTTTGTTGTTTTGGCCTGAACAAGAACCAATGTCATATTCAGGAAATTCCTTCGCGCCGCTGTCAATGCAGAAGTGCAGGTTCAAGCCTCGACACTCCTTACGGATTCAACATTCCGTAAATGCGTATTCGAAAATAAGAATTGAAATACGACTGTAGGAGCAGATCCCACAAACTTTTAAAATTTGGAACAGAAATCACCCTAATTCAAACAATCTCATTTTCCTTTTGGATAGCAACCATACGTTAACCAAGAAGCTGTTCTAAATTATTTTGAAACAGGACCCGAATGTCGTTTTGTAATCACCACTAAGTCTTAAAAATAAAGTTATTCTACACTATTTGGAAGAAACCATTGTAATTCCTAATCCCAATTTGTTCGATGAACATCCACCAAAGCTTGACAACCAAACCTTCCACATCATTCAATAAATAAATAAATAATGTTCAATGTAGTTTAGAACAATGGGTTCAGGTAGCTGCTTAAGTGTGAATTGTTGATTACATAAGCTTGTTATATAGAATCACAATCAGGTAATTATAAGAATATCTTACGGCAACAAGGAACACATAAAAATACTGAACTTAAGTAAAGAAAAACAAAACTCACCTCTATAAATCTGCATCCAACTTCACGTCCAACACCCTTAACATCCCTATATTGGTGAGATGAATGGATAAGAATTGCACTACCTTTCTTCCCAGCCTGACCTGTCCGCCCAGTGCGGTGAGCAAAAGTCTCAGAAAATTTCGGATATTCATAATGTATAACCTGAGTATAACAAAACAAGCCTTCAAACCCACAGGAATAAATTGTGGAAGCTTAATAAAATAAGCTATAAATCCATTTAAATTGAGAAAATGTCTGAAATTACATGTAAGGTGCGCATATAGTTCTATGTGCATAAAACCATGTGCAAAGCAGAGATATTATCTCCTTATTAAGGATAATAGCATCTCACATAGCAAGACCTAGTCCTAGAATAGAGCAATGACATCCAATCCAAGATGCTAGGCAGCAATATAATGTCCACCAAATTATACAGCCACACACATATCACAAAGCAAGCACACGAAAACGAATTCAAAAGGTTGGACTGACATAATACACAGAGTTGCCAGCAAAATTTGAGTCCATCCCACCCATCCATACCACAGTGCAATCAGTCCAAGCTATAAATAAAATAAAAAAGAAAAAAAGCATCATTTTGAGAAAGTATCACTCAGATGAACACCTTTTGAAAGGAATTCCTTTAGCAGCACCTTGAGATAGCCAAAAAAAAAAAAGCACATGATCTCAGGTTTAGCATCCAGAGTGGAAAGATAACTTGCTTAGTCAAGCATTTACTGTAAAAATCTGGTGTCATATTTCCATTTCACAGGCTATAGCACTTGTCAGTTTTCAAGCAACGATGGTATAGAAATGAAATCAAACAACCTATTTTCTATCCAATTACCAAAATCAGATTCAACCAAATTCCCAGCCTTAACAAAATCGAACATAAAAAACCTCTTCCACACACAAAATCAAGCAAAACACCAAAAATATTATCCTGTGCTTTTTCCTTTGATGCAATCCAGATAGTATCCAAATTGCAATACTGAAATAAAATCAAACAATTTATTTGCTATTCAATACCAAAATCATATTCAAACAGAACTCCCAACCTCAAAAAAATCGATTGTCGAATTACAATGATAACATTCACGATTAGTCCTATATTATCGGTAAGATAGTAGTTTGAAGTTGGTTTTACATACCTGACCAACATTTGCAGTGAAGCAAACAACTTCACAGCACGGGGGAGTGACAAGCGTGGGCGAGAGATGTGGAGTAACTCGAATTGGCGGGTGGAGGAGACGGAGGACAGGGACGGCGCAGACATGGTGGCGACATCGACGACGGTGCGGCAGCAGCGCTTCTTTCAGGGAAACCACAGTGTCTCAGTCTCCATAATCAAGAAGAAGCCATCCCTCCCAACAACGGGCGGGCCATCCCTCGTGTCTGGGCGCATCGGCATCCCTCTTTGGGATGGTCTTTTTAAGACCACCCATCCGTGATCCAAAACCGCCTCATCCTAATCCTAATTTCTTTATGTAGAGGTGATCCAGATACCACCCCATCGGTGATCCTAATCAGAGATACAACGAGAAACAACCAATAATGGTCATCTCTAATTCTGGCCCATGGTAAAATCAATTCCGAAATTGGTCATCCTCGACGAATCAAATAATAATAGATGCAAGTAGATCCAACGCGATCGTGATCCCTGAAGAAATTTCCAAGACTCGAATCCAAATCTAAGATTCATCATGAAACGCCAACTCAATCGGTGATACAAGACAGGTACACAGGTGAGTTCACCGAACATGCCTAACAAATCCAAAAAACTCTTTTGAAGTAATTGACAACTTCAGATATATTTTCCCACAATATTATACAGTTGGGCAAAACAGCAATACCCACTTGCACCTATATAAAAAGTATAGATAAATAAGGTAATTCATATAGTCATGCGTATGCTTTCTCATATATTAGTATTTTTATATATACTGATATAGATAGTTGCTATATTTAATTGAACACTGAATAACTTTTTGGATCAAGAGCAATAATTTACAAATCACGTCGCTGAGAAAACATGGATGATAGACTTGATCGAAAAGAGGTTGGCAGAAAGTCTTAAAAAACTAACAAAATATTAGATAAAACAAAATGATATTTGAAATTTATGAAATTCTTATTGTTAGTTATTGAAATTTCTATAAGTATTTTGAAGAATTTTGATGTTGTTTAGATAAATAATTTTATTATTTTTTAAAATATTTTGAAAAAGCAAAATACTGTATGTTAATTGAGAAAATGTATGTACATTTTCTTTTATCAAGAATATACCCGTGTTCAAATAATATATATATATATTCCCTAGATGTTTCATGCTATGTAAATATGTGATAGTATTTTAAAGAAACAACAATTGTTTGACATACTATTTTAAATAAATTAAAGTATTGAATCTATTATTTTATAGAAATAATATGTATATGCAAAAACAAAGTTAAAAATGTAAATTAAAGCCTCATTTTGTGCTCCTAACAAAATTTATGACTATTTTTCCTTGAGAGAATTCCTTCATTTTCTTTAAAAATGGTGACAGAATCTTGATGAGTATTGTATAAATTTGTTAGCAGAGGAAGTCTTCAAAATAGAGACTATCTATATGATATATTATGCACAAAGATTAATCGAATCATCATAGAAGATCAATATTTGATCCCCTTTTTCTATTATCCATATATATTACATTGTAATTTTGAAAGAACACATATTTACAGTTGATTGACCTCATAGCACAATATCATATTGAAGTTAACATAACATGCCAAGGAAATCAGTAGAATTGTTTCAAGTTTTGTGGAAAAATGTTATGTACCTATACAGTTCTCACTATGTGCTCCTGCTTTTTTCCAGTTGCTGCCATAGTATCGTTGCCTGTGATGGTCATGTGAATTTCAGAAATCCATGGACGTGGCGGAAAGCTTTGGTCCTTGTTGGAGAGTTCCACATTAGGCAAATCCATAACGCCAAGAGGCACTGGCGAGTCCTTGCCTTGTAAACTCACTGCTAATTCAATTGTCAATAGCAGAATTAGGCCAACAATTGAATCCATCCTTCACACACTTTTGCAACTAATTTTTAGATGAGATGATAAATTATTCAGCAATTGCTATGTAAATTAAAAACGAGATGTGAACGAAAGCTGATCGATGCAAGAAACCTAAAAGATTCTACAATTCATAACGTAATAGAGGGCATAGCGACACCAATTTGATTTTTTCGATCATCTATTTAAAAAGAATAGCGTAAAACCCTAATTCTTTAATTTCCCCAAATTTGAAAAAGACAATCAACTACAAATTAGGCATCGAAATCGAATCCGTTCTGTTGAAACCAGAATGGTACCTGAACTAGAAAACTACCAAAGGACGACGATACAGAGCAGGACTACCAAAGGAATGAGATGAATGAGCATTTCGGGCGACGAGATGCCCTTCTTGGCATGGCTGGAATGCCTGTGGAACAGAGGAAGTTCCAAGGGTTCGTCCTGCTTCTTCCAGAACAAGGATCTTGGTAAGGAAGCGGACATGCCCTTCTGTCGCGCCATTGTCGAGGTTGAAATTCGAACAACGCGACACTTCACTGAGAGAGAGAGAAAGATGGAGAAGATGGAAGCCAAAGAATTAATCTGAAAAATGATGAATGTTTGGCGCGTTTGGCGCGCGGAGGGATATCCCCGAACGAATAGTACTTCTTAGTTCATATTTATATATATATATATATATTATTTATAATATTTCTTCGGTTCCATAACAAAAGTATTTATTTTTTTTTTTTTTAAAATAAGTGTACGATCTACCTAATATTACAAATACTTTTATATATTACACAAATATCATTACCTTTATATCACACATACTAATAGAGTTATTTTCGTCATTTTGACTTTATTCATACTACATATAAATATAATAGTAATATTTTTAAAACTACGTTGCAAAACCTAAATGAATATTTAGTTATGAGAAAGATGAAGTACATGCTATGTGTTTCAGTGTTTGTTTGAAGGATTCTATCTCAAATTTACTACTCCCTCCGTCCCAAACACCCTACAATATTTTTTTTTATTTGTCCCAAACTCACTGCAATATTTCCAAATTTAGAAATAATTAATAATATTTTTATATATATCAATATACACTTCACTTTATCTCACCACATCACTCAAATAAAAAAAAATAATCATTTCTCTCTCCAATCACATCACTTAATATCTCAATTATGTCAAATTACCATACTTAATATTCCCTACCTAAATTCCTGTGTCAAACACAAATGTTGCACGATATTTGGGACGGGGGAAGTATTTATTTATTTTTTTAAAAAAAAACATCAAATCAATAGCTTATTTTTTATTTTTTTATATTATATTAAAAATTAATTTTATATTTAAACATGCATCAACACCTATTTATATTACACTGTACCACTATTCCAATTAAAAAGTTTTACTGTTCAAAATCCAAACCCAACAAATTAATTCTAAAAAGAGATATGCACCCTAGATCTAATAAAACCATGAAGAATGAATGTAATCGAATCAAATTTGTAAAAATAATTTCTCCCTCCAAAATGCACAATTGTTTACATAACTTTAAAATTATTAGTTTTATAAATTAATTTATAATAATGTATAAATATTTATTAATTTGTATTATATAAAATTTATTTTACAAAATAGAGTCTATATTGTTTAATATATATTTTTTAAAGTAGTAATTTTCAAAGATTTCAAATATATTTTTAATAACCTTTTTTTATAATGTGGAATCTTAGGTCGCTATTATTCAGAGTTAAATTCACACATACTGTATACGTTTACTATAAAAAATAGACTTATATTTTGTTTTATTGTCATAAAAAAAATAGATCTATATTTTAAATCATACTATTTTTCATAATTTTTTTTGCTATTTTTTATTGCAAAAGATAAAAAATAACAAAACATGCATATTATATTAAAATTCATGGCAAAAGTAAATGAACATATTTTTCAATCATGAAAGACATATAATTTAATTTACAATGTAATCTAATATATTTTCAGATATGTCAATGCATTGTTATTTAATAAATTCATATAATTTTAATCATTTTTATGTATTGATTATATTACATTATTTAATTATCATTAAATAAATAGTTTTATTTAGTTAATAGCTAATTGCATGTTTATAAGTGCTTGTCTAATTAATTAGCTCATAAATTGTGTATAAAAATGTACCGAAATTTTGTAAGATTGAATTATTAACTTGTTGGTAAAATCTCAAAAAATACCTTCACACTAGGAAATAAAAATTCCTTTAATATAAATAAAAAAAAGAAAAAAAAAACTGTTATTTATACCAAAGAAGAATTCATTATTTCACTATATAATAAATAGAAAGAAAAATACTTCCTCCATCCTAATACAATAGTATTGTTTACTATTTTTGTCCGTCCCAAAACAATAGCTTTATTTTTATAAATAATCATATCACCATAAAATTACTCATACTTTTTCATTTTTATTACACAATTGTCACTATTTATTACGCTAATACACTTATAAGGGCAAAAAAGTCTTTTATCCATAAATTTTACCGGCTACCAATACAATATCAATATTCCTTAAATCTCGTGCTCCACCCAATTAAGACTATAGTTCTGGGACGGAGGCAGTAAAAAATTTAAAAAAATGGTAATATGGATAAATTACAAGAATAACAAATTCATACAAATTATGTTGTTCTTGCAATATACATTTATCCCAAACCTAATTGGAATCAACAATTTGAAGGGTCATAATAGAAAATAATATGTGAAAAAAATATTACTCTTGTAACTATTCTTGTAGAATGCAGGAATGATTTATCATAACCCAAACCTTTTATCTATGATCGGAAAAATCAAATAGATAGCAATACCTTGGAAACTTTATGTACAAATATCAATATGATCCAACAATAAATACTTTCAAAGCAGTGAAAAAAAAAAAAAACTACATGAATATTCTTGGCGCCTCACCGAATTTTTTTATATCTTCAACATTTTGTGGTTTTCTAATTGTTAAAAATTTTGGGGGAAAATAATGAGATTGTGTTATTAATCATCAAAATAAGGAGACTATATATAGACAATACAAAACAGACTCGATAGACTCAAATTTAAGTAATCTAATATATAAATAAAATCAAATTTAGATATAAATCTACTAAATATAAAACTGAATATCTCAAATATCTCAACATTCCCCCTCAAACTTAAGTGGTATAACATAAACCAACTTGAGTTTGATGAGAAATTTGAATATAAACACAAAAAGAAAACTTAAATAAAATTAGCAGTTGACTCTCCACCCACCGGAGCAAAAAATGAGATGACTCTCCACCGGAGCAAAAAACGAGATGACTCCACCAAAGCAAAACACGACATGACTTCACCGAAGCAAAAAACAACAGGACTCCACCGGAGCCGAAAACGAGATAACTCCACCGGAGCCGAAAACGAGATAACTCCACCGGAGCCGAAAACGACATGACTCCACCGGAGCCTAAAACGACATGACTCCCCCGGAGCTGAAAACGAGATGACTCCCCCGGAGCTGAAAACGAGATGACTTCACCGGAGCCGAAAACCACATAACTCCACCGGAGGGGAAAACAAGATGGCCAAAAATGAGATGACTCCACCGGAGCCTAAAATGAAATGACTCCACCGGAGCCTAAAACGATATGATTTCACCGAAGTAAAAAGTAAGATGACTCCACCGGAGCCGAAAACGACATGACTCTACCGGAGCCGCCGAAAACGACATAGATCGGAAACACCAAACAGATCGCATGGAGGCAATAAACAAGCACAGACAAAAAGAAGATCGTAGACATATTTCAGATCGCATGCAAACAACAAACAGATATAAGATCGCAGACAGGTTTCAGATCGGACGCAGGCATCAGACAAGCAGTGGACATATGACAGATGGATATATGGCAGATCGCAGACATGTTTCTAATTGTACGACAGACAAGCAGCAAACAGGTTTCTAATTGTACGACAGACAAGCAGCGGATGACAAGCAGCGGATGACAGAAAGATCTCAAAATCACAAAACCTTCGGGTACAATGCAGGTTGAATGTACCCGGAGAAACACGGATTCGTAGGCTATATCTACGACATGAGAAAAGTAGGCTCTGATACCATGTTAGAAATTTTGGGGGAAAATAATGAGATTGTGTTATTAATCATCAAAATAAGGAGCATATATATAGACAATACAAAACAGACTCGATAGACTCAAATATAAGTAATCTAATATATGAATAAGATCAAATCTAGATATAATATACTAAATATAAAACTGAATATCTAAAATATCTCAACACTAATGTTCTTTTTAACCTTAATTAATCCATCCCGCCGGTAGGTGTTTCAGTTCGATCCTACAAAAAAGTTACTTTAATAAACCCGACTTCATTTAGATCCAATCTTATCCAAATCGATTCTAGACCAAATATGTATCTATTGATATTATGCTATGCTGTGTTCTGCCTCTTCCTTTTCTTTTGCGATTGAGCTATGGTTTTCTTTTCTTCATTTTCGGTCCAATCTATTATGTGTTGCGTCTCGATAAGATGTAAGAACACCTAATAAAAGCTATATCATTTGCATTACCATACTTCCATACGTCGGGACTTTGAACTCATGATTAATCTCATGGTTACGAGTTCACCTCTAAACCATCAAATCATTCCTTGTAGTCATATTACTTTTTTTGTCGAGTTTAATTTGCAAGTTATTAGGTTCAGTTGAGGATTTATCCAAAGTGCTAAAACTCACTCTACTCTTAAAGTTTATCTTCTTCCCATCATGACCTACAGAAGACCCACATAAAACAACTAATTAATGTTAATCCAAAATTGAAGAATTTAAAACATATTAAAAAGCTTCAAAATAGTGGATTAGTTTAATAATAATATATATGATTAGAGCAGGTCGAGCGATACCTGCCGAAGAAACGGAAAAGAGGATTCAAGCAACACAAAAACTAAAAATAAATAAATAAATAAACCAAACAAACAATCTCGAGGTCGGTCCTAGTTTTATAAGGTTTCAAAGCAAAACAAAAATAAAATGCCCATAAAAGATAATTTTTTATTGTATGGAAGGCTTAAACTCATGATTTTATAGTCACAAATACAAAATCACACCATCAAATTATCTCATAACATATTTTCTATATTAAAATATACTCTCTCAATAGAATAAAAAATAATGACATTTTCTTAGTTGAGGGAAATATAAAATAATTTTAAATTTTTTTGTCCTCATTAGTACCCAAAATTTGACAGCTTGTCACACGTTGCATAATTAAATAAAATAAACTTATTCTTATAATAATGAATAACGTAGTATAGTTGAATTAAAGTCGTCTAATCTAAGAATAAAAAGGTTTTATCATTTAATATTTATAGATATAATAGAATATAGTAAGATTTTGGAAATTAGATATGAAAATAAAAATAAAATTACTAAACTAAAAATCTACGAAAATAAATCATACAATTTAGCTTCAATAAAAATAAATTTCGTGGGTCGGGCGTTGCGGCAATCAATGGTGGAAGCAGGGCAGCGGTTTGAATATGGCAGACAACAAAAATGTCGATTTGACGGCTGTAAGAGATTTGATGGAACAATTGACTTAAAGAAAGAATTTATTAGGAATTATGGTTTTTATTTTTAAAAAAAAAAATTATTTGAAAATTTATTTGTTACAAGATAAAATGACATATTTTTCATATTTTTTCACCAATTTCCTTGAATTGCCATTGGATTGATATGACCACACCTAAACAACATATGATGCTCTGTTTTTGTGACGAGACCTTGGCGTGATCATACCTAATCACAATGTGATCACACATAAACACAGTGTTCTGTTTTTCTTACGGAAAGCCTGTGTGACAATAACTAAGGTTTTTTTTTTAACTAAAAAAATTGATATAAATAAAATTAGAAAATTTGAGTTTTCTCCAAAGAAGTACTTATCTTTAATGTCTTTGGTTAAACGTAGTTTTCATGGTAGTCATTGGATGACATTACTTCAGACTTTCTCGTCCATTTCAATCTTCGTCTTTTACTCTTATGTTATAACCAATGATTACTGAAATGAGATATTTTTAAAAGACTCATGCCATCATTTAAATGATCAGACTCCAATTGATTCTGTGGGAGTTTAGATTTTATATCCAAAATAGATTGTCATTCCATCCCAAAATTTCCTACTTATTTTTGTCAATAGCATTCACTCCACATAAGATGTTAGATTCTCCAAGGTATTTAATATCATCAAAAATACTAAATTGTATTTTCTCACCATAAAATTTCATAAAAAAAAATATATACCTTATTTTACATCAATTTTAGTTTATGCGGTGCACATAAATGGTTTACAAAGTAAAATCGATGAAGAACTTGGAAAGTTATCATCATGCATGTCAAGCACATAAAAATCAACCGAAAAAATCAATTCATTAACTTTCACTATGACATATTCAATAATTCCTTCAGGGTACACATTTGTTCTATCTGCTAATTGTATAATAATTCTAGTTTCTTTTAAAAGATCAATATTCAAAGACTTGTAAATAGACATTACATTCCTGGATCTAACATTGCCCCGTTTAATATCCAATTTACCTATTTTATAATAAATTGAAAACAGACCCAGAGCACTGCATTTAGGAGGAAGTTTATTTGTAAAACAACAGATATTCTCTCTCGAGCGATTGTGCATTCATCTCCTCGTAGTCTCTTCTTGTTCGCACAAAATTTTGCGTATTTTGGCACTTATTTGATTGCATCCCCTAGAAGTATACTCAATTCCACTTTTCAAAACATTTTCATTATCTCTTTATTTCTATCATTCTTTTTTTATTTCTTCGAACTGTAAGGAAATTGTGCAATACTAGTTTAAAAGGAGTAGGTAATTGGAGTGTTTCCTTATCTGATATTTCATTGGTGGCTCTTTCCATTTCTTTTTCGATCACTTCTTCATTCTTGTCATTTGGAATTTTAACTTTTGATCCTTCTAATTCTTTGTCACTTCGTAGAACAATCGAACTCACATTTTCGGATTGATGTCGGACTGTGAGGACAATTTATTTTTTTCTATGACTTCTTGATAGGATTGTAGATGGTAGTTATGTGTTTGGAATCCTCGTCAGCGATCTTCAAAAGTAAAACATTAAATCGATATCAAAATTCGAATTAAGACTCCTCTGTATTTTGTTTGATTCTGTATGTCTCTGTCTTCATGTTTGCCACTCGTGAGGCATGAAAATACTTTTCAAAAAACTTTTCTTCATATTAGTCTATATACTAACGCTTCCGATGAGTAGATTGAAGAGTCAATATTACACAGTATTTTTAAATGAGAATGAAAAAATACAAAACTTGATTTGATTTAATGTTATTTGTGATTTATACTTGTGCAGACGAATTTCAAATTCTTAGAAATGCTTGTACTAAATGATTTGTAGACTAATTTGTACATTTGATGATTTTAATTCAATCTCTTTTATAAAAATTAATAATGTTTTGAAAATATATATATGAATTATTTTTATTATAAAAAAGTACTTTAATTAAAATACAAATAGCAAAAAAGATAATTTCATTTGAGATATAAAAAAAATATATTATTTAAAAAAATAATATTATAAATTAAATATTAATTAAATAACTACGAGTGTGAGCGAGTATCGACGCATGGTACTGTAAAGCAGCAGAGAAAACAGATCCAAGGGTCAATCAATTTCATTCTCTCTTGGCTTGGCTTGGCTTGGGTTGCCTTCGATTCCTTCTTGGATTCCCCACTTTGAAGCTCAACTACAAACACCACATCTATCTATTCATTCTTCCTTTTCCTTTCTCTTTTCCTTTTCCCAATTTCCTCTCAATTCAATTTAACTCCCTTTCAATGGCTTCCGGTAGCGGCGGCCCCAATTCGCCGTCGTCAAGCAGTTCTAGTATGCCCAAGTCGCCATTTTCGAGGACCATGCCAAATAGGGAAGCACTGGTGTCCTCCATGATCCGGCAAGGCATAATTCCCAATACCGTGCTCTCTCCTCCCCGGGTCCCAATGCCCCCCGCCCCCGCCCCCGCCCCCGCAGCCGCCCCCACACCCGCCCCCCAATCGGAGGCTCTCAAGACAATCAAAGATGCCGTTAGCGATCTAATGTTGGAAGCCCCATTTCGGGATACTGATAAATGGGGGGCGAGCGACGTGAGGCTGAATGTGGTTGCCAGGTCGATGGGGTACCATGTGGCGATGGACGTGCACAGCCGGGTGCTCGTCTCCAGGAGCCGCTTCTTCGCGGATAAGCTGCGCACGGGGGCTGGGACCGAGCATACCGTTGAAATTTGTGATTGTGACGACGTGCCCTTGTACGTCGAGGCCATCTCGCTCATGTACTATCAAGAAGACTTGAAGAACATTCTCAGGACTACGGTGCCTTCCAAGGTCGTCGATCTCTTGCAGGTATAATGACAATTGATGATCTCCCCTCTTGGTTTCATTTTCATTTCCTTTATGATTTCTTCTTGTTCGTTTCTTGGAATGGGTTTTTATATGTTTGGCTACACCCCTAAAAGCTCTTATTACATTCAGGATAGAATAGTATAGTGAATATCTATGATCACTGTTTAGGAATTTGGCTAACTAACTTATGCTAAGTTATTGCATTGAATTGTAGTTGAGTTGTGTGTATCTTCTAATTGGAATGCGTAGGTATTTTACGCCTTGCTGTGCGAGGACTGGCTGAGGGCATGTTTGGAGTATCTGGACTCAATACCTTGGACAGACCATGAAGAGGATCTCATCGTTACGCAATTGAATGAATTCAGTTGTTGTGGTTTAAGGGCAGATGGTTTGTTACAGAGAGTTAAGGCAATCGGGCCGTCGACATCTACCCGAGGGGATGAAGTCTTCTTACAACTATCCAATGGTGTATTGCAGGCCAAAGATGATAAAGCCCGCAACACAATGAAGGCATTAATAACTCGGTTAATTGAGCAGGATGAGGATAATGATTTGCTTGACGTTTCGAAAGATACAATTTATAGTCTTTGCCATAATGGTCTTAATTTTCTGACCGTCAGATTATCTGGAGTCGCCAGCGTCCATGAAAGCAGCCATAATCGGGGAGCTTTGATGAGTGAGATAGCTCGAGCAGCTGACAACCTGCTGTGGATTGTCAAGATCCTAATTGCGAGAAAAATCGGTGAAGACTTTGTGGGTATATGGGCTGAACAGAAAGATCTTTCGGCTCTTCACTCAAAAGTCCCTGTAAGATATCGACATGAAATTAGCAAGATCACTGCCCATATTTGCATTGCCATTGGAAGAGGGCAAATTCTTGTGTCGAGGGAGACTAGATTTGCGTTGCTGAACACTTGGCTGGAACCTCTTTATGACGATTTTAAATGGTTGAGGATGCCTGGAAAGTCGTTTGATCTGAAACTGTTTGAAGAGGGACTGAGTAAGACAATCTTGACTCTGCCATTGTCTCAACAACAATGGATTTTGCTCGACTGGTTTCATCGGTTTCTTGACAGGGGGGATGATTGTCCCAATATTCAGGGGGCGTTTGAAACATGGTGGAGAAGGGCTTTCGGTACCAAGTATGATGATATTGATCCCAAAATGCAGATAAAATCTGCTGCGGATTTTCATCAATGAATTTGTAGTCGATTCTTCTTTGATGCCAGGTAATAAAATAGCCCGTGTTCTTCTTTCATCCGGTTTCGCTTTAACTTTGTTAAAGAAAATCTTGATCAGAATGTGAATCTTTTGGAGATAATTCCCTTTCACTTTTTTGTGAATAAGAATATGAATAGGATTTGATTTTTGATTCGATTCAATCGTTTTAAACTGTGTGTAGATGTAACCAACCCTCTTCTTGATCGATGGCTCAAACAATTGTTTCAAAAGTTTCAATTTCTTTCGTTTGGCTATGTATATATCTATACTAAAAGGGATCTTGGAACTTCCTTCTCTGGAAGTGTTTAACAATTGACTTACCATTTAATTTATGGGGAATGTTACGTGCTGATTTGAAAAAATCAACACCTATAAAATACCAAAACAACAAGTCTTTGTTAAAAACAACATGTGCTGTTTGTTTATATTTACACGTGTCCTGTACAAGTATATCTCATGTGCTGAAATGAATTGTTGTATGTGCTATGTAAGACTATATCATGTGTTGTTAATTCATGTGTTGTGTTTGTATTATATGAACATAAATGATGTGCTGTTTGCTAGATCTTGTATGCTGTTAGTTCATGTGTTGTGTTTGTATTTTATTAATATAAAAGATGTGTTGTCACTAATAGTACCGTATGCTTTTTGTTAGCTATTTGTGTACTGTTCAGCACAGTGCCGAGATTCAGCACTTTAGCGGCCGCCTTAATTTATAGTAATGTTATATATTTATTATCTTGAAAAGTGTTTGATTAGGAGGCTGAGGCTGAAGATTAAGATTTGTGCCTCAAAGTTCTTGCCTTTCATTTCGATTTCAATTCGCATTCTATCAAAAATCTTGGAGATTTTTGTCATCTCGTCTGAAAGTAATTTTTATTTCATTGATATATTCTGTGTATTTATTGTGATGATTCTTTCTTATTTTAGTCGAGATTAGATTTGTATAGATAAGATTAGAATAAGGAGAGAATTTGATTAATCGAGTGTCGACTGAAAAACTCTGAACTTTTCTTCAAATACCATTCAATCTATGATCTATAATTTTACATGGTTCACATGTATTTTGTGTTCTTAATTTGTCATTGCATTTTTGTCTTTGTTCTATCTTGAATTGAATTGACATTTAGCTTCGGCTGATCTGACTGATTTCTTGGAATCATAGTCTGTTTTTTTGTTGGGGATTTTAAGGATTTTTATTATTCTATTCATTTCTTTTCCTTTGGAGTATCAAATCAAGGTAATTATGTATTCAATTAAGATTTTATACAACTTTGTTGCACTTTAAATTTTAAATTTTGGTGTATTTAATTAAGACTTTGAAAACTATTTGAAAGTACTCAATCAATTTTTTTTTTACATATCTTTGAAAAAGTTATTTAAAATTTTGAAATATTTAACTATTTTAAAAGTTTATGTAGTTTATTGGATTCTTATTGAAAATTATGAATACGTGAAGTTGTAAAAAATATCTGTTTATTTTTATTTTATTTTTATTAGGGATTACAATGGATCAGGTAGACTCGATTTGTACCCGTTATTTGATTTCGGGTCGGATATAGGTCGGATTTTTAATATTTTCTTAGGGTTAGATTGGATACAAAGTTTAATAGTAGATTTTATCCGACCCGATCTAGACCCGATTAATTAAAATAATAAAATATTATTGGTGGTGGCCGCGGCGGCAGGCGGCATGGCTTAATATTTATATTTATTATGTAATTCTTTAATTTATTTTTCTAAAATAAATAAATATTTTTGTGGGTAGGTCGGATTTGTGTTTGAATTAAATTTGCATGTGTTGAAATTTTTTAAAATATGACGGATCTGGTAGGTTTAGCGAGTACATCCCGAGTAGGGTCCGGATATATTTGGATCCGGACACAATCAAGTTCAGGTAAAATTTTGAGTCTAGTAATATACACTCGTGTGAATCTCGGATCCAACTATACGGACCCGTTACCTACCCATGGCCATCCCTATTTTTTTTTTTATGTAGAAAAATATATAAATAATATTTACAAAATTATACTATTTTCATTCGGCTTAAGGATTTCATTTACTTTTTGCGTGTTATATTTGAATATTAATTATTATATGAAAAGTAGTACAAATTAAGGAAAATGAAAAAAAAAATATTTATATAAGTGTCTTATAATACTATTATAATGATATTTGTGCAAAAAAATTATACAAGTATAAAAATATTTTTAATGTTAAATACAATCACACAAAAGGTAAATGAGACCCTTAAAGCCGAACGAAGGGAGTATAAATTAAAAAATTAATATATTTAATAATAATATACTAATAATTATAAAATAAAAAATATTAATATATAGAACAAACCAAACTCTATAATTCTATGAAATTTATATAAATAAATAAACAATTCAACATAATCTATCAAAATTTATCTAAATCAATCAAACTCTGCACCACTTTGTGAATTTTTTAAATTGACGTAAATTTATAATTTCTAATATCCCCAAAAATCTAATAAAATTTTAAATGAATACCCCTTTAATTTATAATAGTATTATATTTGTAAATTGTAACATAAAATAAAAGTATTTTAAATATTATATTAATTAATTCTGTTATAGAATAATGACGTATATGTTTGAAAGATTTGCTTTTGGATTTACAATTCAAATATATATATATATATATATCTCTAAATATCAAATCAAACTTTATTTATTTATTATATTATATTGAAATTTAATTTTAAATTCATAATATACATAATAAATATTTATATCACTTTAACAACCATTTTAATTATTTTACTATTAAAAATCAAAATTTAACAACAAACATGTGTTTGTTTGAGGATATGGATTTTGAGTTGGGATTTGAATACTAAAATTCTGAATTAGAATAATTGTATTGTAACATCCCCAGTTGGCTCGTACTGGAAATGCTACCGCCACACTGCATCATGAGGTCGTCACCTCCTACTTCGGGCCCCACAATACAGTGTTAAGGCTAAATTAACCATAAAAGCGCATTATTAGATATACCAAAATCTGATTTATAAATATTTACAAAACACACCCCTTAACAAGAGGTTTTTCCGGTTAAAAATTTATATATAATACAATATACGTAAGTTCACTCACTCAGCTCATCTTTCTATGTCTCGAGACGTCCCCTTCTCAGATGTGCCATGCATACCTGAAACAAATATTTTCTTAAAAGCAGTCCAGAATTAAATCCATTTTAAGAACTAACATGAAATATGTCATTTCACACCTTTTTAAAATAAAGTCTAATTCCCGCAATCATAAAATATGTGTCATGCCATGCCAATAGTGAAATGATGCAATACAGATATCAAACTCGACAACAATGCACACTCACATATATATATATCCGCCAAAGTGAGCAGCCGGAATAACCTCGGCTCCATAATCATAGGCTCACTACATCTGTCTAAGTGAGCAACCGGAATACCCTCGGCCCCGTAATAACAAGCTCACTAGACCATCATCAATAAATAGCCGGAAAATCCTCGGCTCAAGGAAGGACCTGATAAACCCATAATAATATAACAGTCATCCGGTCACTTCCATATACTCACCATACCACTCCCACAATCAATACATGGATAGGCGAACGTTGTCGCCATTAACCACAAGACGCTCCATAGTCTGTGATAGTGAAGATAGGACCCCCACTGACTAGCCCTATCCCGTGTAATGTAGTAGAATCCGTGCAACCTGGAATCACCCAAGGGAAACCTGGAAACTCTACTCCTCCTCGCACGCCCTAACGGGATCACGTTTGGAGTTTGGTATATGATCCTAAACTACCGGTAGACCTCACTAGTGATCACTCCAATGAGTGGAACAACACCGAACACGAATGATTAGACCAAATACGTCTCAACTACAATGGGTCTAATCCTTGAATGACCGTGCGACTAAGTCACCCAGTTGTCCGACTACTATCGTCCACTATCGCCAAAGTGTTACGGTACATCGGGGTCGAATATCCTAACCCCAGATGATGCCCTCACCTAGCACTACCGCACATGGCGACTAAACGATAGATCCATAAAACACATCCGATAAACCGTGCAATATGTGTGCAACATGCCAAATAAGTGAATTTACCGAAAAGGGCTAGTGAGACAGCTCACCTATCTTCATTTTCATAAATTCACCAATGCGATCAAATACGTATATCAAATATCATAAACCGTGAAGTCTCCCACATGCATACGCACACACATATATATAAATATATAGATGCAACAAAATGATTTACATAATATCACATTAACATATTAATCAAAATCGCATGCAACATGCATACCTAATTTCTTAAAATTAGATTTAATTCCCTACTGCTTACCTCTTATCGACACTCCCTAGCTCCCGCAATTTCACTCAAATCTCTTCCAACGTACACCTGCCTATTATTTACTCAAATCAGCTAAGCTATATACTTATACATAGGAGCTACCTGCTTATTCAAAAGCTAATTTCTATAGTTAGCTCGTTGGGTTTCAAACTTTTATATTTAGTAGACTACGATATTCTAGCTATAAAACTCTTATACCTCATAATATTTATATCGCCCGATTATTAAATAAAAATACTTAAAGATATGAATAAACAGGCAGGTGCAATACACTGCCGTTTTCAATTCTGCTCGGATCGATACGAAATTCTCATAATATAATACTAGGACTACGAATAGGCTATTAGCTAAAGAAATTCGTCGATTAAATAGCCAAATAACTAGTTATAAATTTTTGAAGAATTTCTAATTTAATATTCTCAATATCGAAATTTATATTAAAATTCATAATTAAATTTTACGTATAACAAATAATACAATACCGAAGTCGAAAGTGAAGTCGAACGGCTAAATCATTTTCTTTCTTTCTTTTCTTCTTTCTCCTTCGCATTCTTCTGCTTTGGTCGTTCGCAGGTAAGTTTGGTTTGGTATATAAAATTATATTATTATTATATATATTATATTATATTATATTATTATTATTAACGTTATTATTATCATTATTATTATTATTATTATTATTATTATATCTTCGTCATCATCCATCCTTATCATTATTATTATTATAATATTATTATATATATTATATTTTATATCTATTTTTATCGATATTTATTCATTTAACAGCCTTTTAAATCACAATCAATATATAAAATATGAATAAAATTTATTTCAAAATATTAATTTCTAGATTCCAAAATATTATAAAAATATTTATTTGCTATAATAATATTATTTTATACACTTCAAAATCGGGGTATTACATATATGATGTGGTATAAATAGGTATTGATGTGATATTTGAATGTAAAATTGATTTTTAATATAAAAAAGAAAAATAGGTGTTTGATTTGATATTTTTGGGGAAAAATAATTTGATGAATGTGCGTTTTTTTGGAGATTTGGATTTTGAGTCGAGATTTAAATAGTAAAATTTTTTAATTGAAATAGTTGTATGATGCGAAATAAATAGGTGTTGATGTGATGTTTTGAATGTAAAAATAATTTTTAATATAATATAAAAAATAAAAAATAGGTATATAATTTGATATTTTTGAACAAAAAAATTAATGAATAGCAGAATTTAGGGAGAATCCCAAACAAACACACCCTAAGAATATTTTAGAAAGTACTCCCTTGGTCCCACCAAATTATTCCACGTTTCCTTTTTTAATCGTTGCACGAAATTAGTCCACTTTCCTATTATAGTAATAATTAATAACTAATACTTCAAATAAAAAAAACTTAACTATCTTTTATTAACTTACTAATATCTTTAATTTTATTATTTATTAATTGTAAATTCAATGTTGGGCTAAAATTTTGAATAATAAAATAAAAATAAATATATATTATATAAATAAATATTTAATTAATTTTAAAATTAAATTTTAATGTAATATATAATAAAAATTTGATGTTTGATTTGAAAATTTATGACTGAAAAATTAATTAAAAATGAGATTTGATATTGATTTTTTTTTTCAAAAAAAATAAAAAATACTCCCTACGTCCCGCATTGGATGTTTGGGTCACCGTAGACACGGAAATTTAGGATAAGTATAATTAATAGATAATTAAGAATGTACAGTGAAAATAATTATCCTATAATATAAATAATTATAAATGAAGATTAATATAACTAATTACTTTAATTAAAATTTAAAAAAAAATAAATTTAAAAGTTTAAAATCATATTAAAGTGTGTAATCATTTTCCAAGAAAGTAAATAAACATGAGACATGAGACCGACAGAAATGACAATGTGGACATGATACGTGGGATGGAAGAAGTAGAACTTATTTATAATGCAAAATTATTAACTTATTTTTAATTTCGGTATTTGACGTAAAATATTATATTCTAATACCGTGTATACAATTCAGTTATAGATGGTTTGAGATAGTTTACCAAAAATATCAAAATATATTGTATACCGTACCAAATTTTTTAATTTATTAAAAAAAGATATTGATATTGTATCAAATACTCAGTATATACAAAAATACCAATTTTTTTAAGTATCTATATATACTGAAAATATCTTATTATATATCGTTATCATACAAAAAAAGTCATATTGTATCGAAATTTTGAAAAATTTTCGGTATTTTTTTTACGAGTATGCATATATTTTCGTAATTCAGTATTTTTTATACGCAAATTTTGTATACCAAAATATTTGTACGGAACGGTAAAATATCATACCAAAAAATTTGTACCGTAAGTATGCGATGTGATATTAAATTTGGTATGTCATAACGAATTATCTCTAATAACAATAAAATTCGAAAAATTTTATATATTGTTTATATACTTTTTTTATTACATTTTTTATTGTATAAATTACATGTAAGTTATTATTATTATTTTTTTTATATCTAAATGCATATATTGATTTACAATAAATACAATTATTATTTTTTAAAAATAATATCAGTAAATAAAAAATTCAATATTAAAAATTAAAATAAAAAAATTTTAACTTTTAATTTAACATTTTATCAAATAAAAAATATTTATTATAACACTTTGTTACATCTATTAATTAAACTAATTAACTACTTAATACAATATTTCTTAAACTACGTGTAAAAAAAAAAAAAACTGAACTAAGAATTATTTGCTAGAAAATTCATCATTTTTTTTTGGACAAAATAATCCACAAAAAAATAAAATAAAATAAAATAAAGGAATATAAGGAAGTACTTCTTTCGTTCGGCTCTAAAGGTTTTATTTATATTTTGCGTTATTATATTTAACATTAAAATATTTTTATATTTGTATAATTTTTTTGCCCAAATGTCATTATAATAGTATTATAAGACAAGTACTTTTGCCATTTTTTCTTAATTTGTATTACTTTTTCATATAATAATAAATATTCAAAGATCAACACGAAAAAAGTAAATAAGACCCTTAGAGCCGGACGGATGTAGTATAAGATATTATACTCCATCTGTTTCGTGGCGTAACATTTGGTTTCCGAAAAAATCAATCATTTAACATAAATATTAGTATTATTTTTTATATTACCAACATAATTTTTCATATTAACATAAAAAAAAATCCATTAAAAAATACAAAGTTTATAAAAAAAATATAAAAAATTATTTTTTATATTAAATTGTTAATTTTATTTAGTACTATTTATTTTTTTATCACTATATTTAATATTAAAAATATATATTTGTATAATTTACTTTACAAATATCATTTATTATATTTATATTATAAAAGATTAATAAAATTTTATTTATTATTTTTTTATTTTTTGTCTTAATCTGAACTATAAATTAATATAATAATTAATATTAATATACCTTCTAAGGTAAGTAGTATATATATTACGAGGATGGTTACGGTGTTGATAACTATGTTGATTTTTCACATCAGCAAACATTATATATACAAACAACACACATTAGTATTACATACAACACAAGCTATGTATAATAAAAGTATGTGTTATTTTTTAATATTAGCAAGTGTGCTGCATACAAGTATACCATGTACTAAAACCAACTATTGTGTGTGCTGTACGAGATTATAACATGTGCTGTTAGTTAAAGTATTGTATTTGTATTATATTAATATATACAATTTGATATTTATAGTAATATTGTATGTTGTTAACACTCATGTGTGTTTAGTTAATATATTGTATTTGTATTATATTAATATATATATTGTATTGTTTGTAGTAATATTATATATTGTCTAATAGCACGTACAGTATCAGCAGTGTAGCTGCCGTCATATATTATATATTCTTTTGATATAAGAATATATTAAAATAATATTTAATAGAAATCATTTTAAAATATTTATTCCTATTTTATAATATGACCAAACTCTCCTCATCCTCCATCACCATTCATTCATTCATTATCAAAGCCTGGCCAAGAAGTCCTGAGACTGTCTTTCAAATTTGAACTTACCCTTCTTAGAGTCATCCGCAGACCATATAAATATCCCATTAAGCTTCCCCTCATCACTCAACGTCCTGCACGCATTGAAAAACCCTTTCTCCGGCGACAGCCCGCCGGAGCCGTCGGTGCCGAAGCTCGCCAGAATGTCGCCGCCGTCGTACTTCTTCCTCTGCCTCTCGAAATGCCCGAGGAACTGCCCGACCGTCGTGCCCTTCGGATAAGCGTAGAATTGGAAGTTAACGTAGTCGAAAAGTCGACCGTATCGCCGCCACAGTGCCAAATAATACGGCTCGACGGAATCGTCGTCGTACGGCGCAATCGACGCGAACGCGACGACCCGACTCTGTTTTAGTTCAAACACAACTCTGCCGATGCATTCCGCGAACGTGTCCGGGTCTGCTTTGAAGTGTTCGTAGTCGATGTCGATGCCGTCGAGGCCGTACTTTCGGGCGATCGAGGTTATCGAACGAATCGCGTTGGCGACCCATGTGTCGATCGAGTCGGGATCGAAGAAGACGAATTTGTCGTTTATCGTATCGCCTCCGAGGGACATGGCTACCCTGACATTCCGATTCCGAGATTTGATCGAAGAAACGTCGGAAGGGCTGAGGTTGTCCGAATCCCAGTAGACGCGGAAATCGCCGTTAGTAGGGGTCGGTTTTGCCGAGTTGGTGTAATCGATTGCGAACGATAGAATGAAGTGGAAATCGATTCGTCGATCGACGGGTACGTCGGAGAATTTTACGTTTTTGCCCTCGGCTCCGATGTATTCTCGGAAGAGCTTCGGAGGAGCTGCGGCGACGGCGGCCGGCGCCGGAAAAATCAGCAGCAGCATGAGGAAAAATTTGAAGTTTGATGAATCCATGTATAGCTTAGGATTATTACATATGAGTGAGGTTGAGGTAGGAATGTTTAAGTACATGTAAGGAGATTCCACTGCAAGAATGTGTCAGAATTAGAATGATACTGATTTGATTGGATCAATATTTTAATTAAGATATTTAATGATGAGAAGATTCTGTTTGTTTTAGTGACTTGAAGATTCTGTTTGTTTTAATTAATTTGTTGAAGATTCTGTTTGTTTTAATTAATTTGTCCGCCGGACTGTGTTGTCTGATCTAACTATGCTTTTGTAAGTATACTTTTATCAGAAAACGATCGTCGACCTGTTTTCTTGTTGTCTGTATATTTTTGGGGCTGGCCTTCACGTGCATTGCCAAACAGAATAATGACATTTTTCTTGGAGAAATTAATAATAAATGTATGAATCGAATCTTAAAAATGTATTATGAACTGTGAGTATTCTTTTTGTTTGCGTACTACAAAATGGGCGCCAAATTATATGTTTTTTTTTTTTTAATTAAAATTTTATTTAATATTTATTATAATTAAAAGAAAAAAAATATATACAATATATATGTCATTTTGTAAGAATTTTTTTTTTTTATAATACAAATAAATAAAAATTTAAATATATATATATATATGTTGGGTATAATATAAATTCATAATAAATCATACAATATAAATTTTATCAATTAAATTTAATACAGATTTATATTATTTTATTCATTATTTATCAAATTAATACACATTAAAACTCCTCAAACCCCAACCAAACCCAAACACAAAAAAACAACAAAATCCAAACCAATCTCAAAATTCAAATAAAAACCAAACTCAAACCCAATTTTTTCCAAACTCCTCCAAAGAAACACATCCTAAAGTTTGGGTGTTGTTTCTATTAATTCTTGCCTTTATTATATATATATTTTTATATCTTTTTATATTATCTTAAAAATTAAGTTTAAATATAAAAGCCACCTCAATATCTGTATGATATTTAACAATTATTTAAATTCAAAATTTGACGATTCAAAATCCAAACTTAAAACTCAACTCCAAACAAACACATTGCTAAGATTTTTTTTGTAAGAGAAAATTATTTATTTATTTTGTTTGTAAAATTAGAAAAAATCATATACAAAGTTTATTTAAATAAAATTGAAATAATAATAAAAAATCTTCAATCTACATGTGGTTACTTCAATCTACTTTGTATATTATAAAAAAATATTATATATAAAAGTATAAATTATGTAATATACATGTGGTTTTATGAAAAAATTGCATAGAACATTATATGTTCTATTTATTATATAATACTTTTATGGTAGTATAAAATATGAATAAGATATTCTTTTGTCCAAAAATAGCAACAATTAAGATTGATAGCATATATTTCCAATTTTATTTAAAAAATTAGATGAAATTTACATTTCTATGTTATAAATTTTTAAGAATTACATGTTTGGCATACAAATGATTTATATAATAATCTATTCCCACAAAAAGTAAAATACTCTCGTTTCGTCTTAGATTATACATGTGATTAAAAATATAATTTTTAAGGTCACAATTTTAATTAGTTAATAATAGTAAATTATGACATTATTTTATTATTTTTATGTAAAGAATATTTTAGTAATTTTAAAATTAAAAATATATATATAATATTACCAGAAAAATAAAAAATTATCTCAAAAAATTGTCTCAAATCTTTATAAATATGAAACAATTAATTGATAATTTCAAAAATTGTCTCGAAATGCCGTTTGATTGTGACAATATGAAAAGTCACAAAATGGTGAGACATATTGTCTCGTCAGATTGATGAGAGATTTTCGTGACAGTAAATTGTCTCGAGAATTTCCACAAACTCCGTCGAGACAATATTTTGCCTCGAACAATCATGACAACATCCGATATTATATTTTGTCACGAACAACCATGACACTATTCGAGACTATATTTTGTCGTGAACAACCATGATAATATTTAAGACTATATTTTGTCTCTTACTCTCAGGACAATTTTTGTGAACTTAAATTGTCTTCAACAACCGTGACAACATCCGAGATTATATTTTGTCACCTACAGTCGTGACAATTTTTGAGACTTTACTTTGTCTCCAACAACCATGAAAACAACTGAGACCATGTTTTGTCTTGAACCGTCGTGACGTTTTGAGACAATATTTTGTCTCCAAAATTTCGGGACTCAATATTGTCTCAAAATGCAATGACAGTTATCGAGACTATATTTTCTCTCGAACTCAACTATATTTTATCTTAAACAACCGTGATTATTTTTTAGAGGATATGCTGTCTTGAACAACTATGACAATACTTGAAATCGTGTACTATATTTCATTTCAAAATAATTGTAGCAACATATGAAATTACATTATGCACAATCTAAACCAAAATAAATTGATTAATTCGAGTAGTTCATTCCCCACAGTATTTTCACTAAAATGAATACATATCAATATCATAAATAAAACTACTATCTGAAATTATTTTACCGCACACTAAAACAAAACTATAAATTCTCATGGTAATAAGTATAAGAAGTAAAAATAGAAATAAATTAAATTTGTAATGAATGCAATTAAAAACCATCACTCATCGTGCGATATAGAGCCATTTGTTGTCTCATCATCATCATCATCATCGTCATCCTCATTATCTCGTTCATATGTTGGAATAAATCCAATAGAATAATTATCATCTAAAAGTGGTAGATCTTTCATATGGCTCGAGACTTGCATCGGCGGTTGAGAAGGAGCAGTGTCTTCGCTAAAATGGATGTGATGATTATGAATATGCATAACCCATTGAAATAAAGCCTTAACTTATTTCGTCATCTCTTTAATTATGCAAAAGTTACTAATAAAATTCTATAAAAATAAAATACAAAATAATCAAATGATTTATTTGATATGAAACTAACCTGTTCGAGTATTTTTATTTTTTTTGTCTCAGCCAACTCATTTTGTGTCAAGCAAATTTCAACTAAATGGTCTAGAATAAGATGGCGGATAATTTGGTACACCTGAATTGTAAGAATAATTGTTTTATTAATAAGTTAAAAAGTTATATAGTCCATACTTGCAACGATATCAATGCTAGTAGTACTCAATAATATATAAATAAATATTATATACTATTGCATTATGATAACAAATCAGATAAATATAAATGAGTAACGTATATATATATAATGCCAATAAAATGAAAGCAGACTCATGAATGTCAAAAGAACATAGTAATTAGTTATTAGTATAGCAATTTCTAACTATTATAATTGACTTCTCACCTCGAGACCAGGAACCACAAAGTACCACTCTAGCCGTCTTTTCACGTTATCCTAACCCTGTCACTCAACCTTTACGATTAAATCTCCGGTATGCATCAATAAGATTCTTTGAAGATGCTTGAACAAAGCTATTTTGGATACCTTGAGTGGAATTAATAAGAGTTTCCTATATGTAGAAGAGAATATTAGGAAAAATATACAAAATTGTTCAATATAATAAAAGTACTAAGTCATTAAGCTACCTCGACTTCAGCCGCCGATTTGGATGCATGTGTGTCATCTCGTTTTCGCCGACATTTTTGGTGCATTTCAAGCTTTGAGGGTATTCGGCCTAAGTCCAATTCGTGTTTGCAATTACAATGAAGAAGAAGAATCCTACATTGATATGTCCAAATAAACTGTATAGAACCCAATCCTAACAAAAATTAGTGATTATTCCCTCCGTCCCAAAATAATAGGAACATTTGGGATGAACACGAGAATTAAGAAATAATAGTACTATATTGATAGTAGGTGTAAAAGTATTTCTAAAAGACCAAAATGTCCCTACTTTATGTAATCATTGTGAAAAAGTGGGGATAGTTTTGTAAAATAGTTGGGAGGTAGTTACCAAAAATGAAAATGAGACTATTATTTTGGAATGGACGAAAATGACAAAATGAGACAAATATTTTTGGGACGGAGGGAGTATATCTTATACAACTTTGCTAATTCTTTAACTATAAACCTTACACAAAATCAGAAAAAAAAAATAAAAAAATAGAAGCGTTATATGATGAAAATATCATGATTTAGAACATCAAGTTGAATTGAAACATTCGTCTAAAGATATATGTTTGTTTTAGTAGTGTATTTATGTATAAAAATAACTATATAAAATTTAGAATATTAAGATTTTAATAGTCCCACATCATATATATATATATATACACACACAATAGGATACATCACATACATATAAATCATGCAACATATAAAAATTATGCAGTATTTAGAAAATAAAAAATTAAAGGTATTTACGAAAACTTTGCAACATAGAAAAAAAATTCAGCATATATATATATATATAAAATATTGGCAGCATCTGTATAAATTCTACATCATATATCATCATTAAATTATTTCAGCGCGCGCATATATATATATATATATATATATAAACACTTACAATTATACTAGTCAAGATATAAATAAAAATCTAATCATATCATAAGGTCATGAAAGTGGACGGTTTATAAAAACTAATACTTCAATATGTCATATTCAAATAAGAATAAGATTCATAGTAAATTATTATATAAATATAATGAATATTTGCAAAAAAAAATGCATTGATATATGAATTTCAATACCATTTTTTCCTAATGAAACTAATCGACAAGCATTCACGGCGGTATTGATTTAGTCTCGCGTCAAAATTCTTAAAACGGTTGTCAATTTTATTTTTTTTAGGTTTACGATAACTCTCTGATTCTCATTGCTTTATCATGTCACAAAAGTAAATGGAATTCAACCAATGTTGGCATTTTTTCTTTGACCGCGGCGTCTTTAAAGCACTTCGTAGTACATCAGAGTACTTATTATTTAATAACTCACTAATTGCATGCTCATGAGCAATTTTCCAAGTTAAAAAAAAAATTAATAAAAAATAAAAAAAATTTTGAAGTGCAATCCAAACTATAAAAAATATTACCTTAAAAATACCGTTCATC